CGCATGTGACATCCTCTCCCGCACACGGGGGGGACGCAGTGAGAGCAGGCTGTGCCTCCTCCCTGCAGCCAGGCATATGTTGCAGCCAGCACATCCCAGCAAGGGGAAAGCCCCGAGACAGGGATCTTGGCTCTGGCCACACACCTACCCTACCCTTGCAGATGTTTAGCTTTAAACTGAACAGCCAGGTCCCTGTACGTTCATGTTGGAGCGGTTCTGGCTGCTAGGAGGGATCACCGTGACAGCAAGTGGGAAGCACTGGGGCCCACTGTGCAAGCACGGAGGGTGCCAGGCAGATCAGCATTACAGCCAGCAGCAGAGACACCCCATTAGTGGCCAATGTGCTGATAAGTGGCACTAGGGAAGGGGGCAGTGGTGGCCCTTGCTTGGGGGACTTTCCCCATCACGGAGGTGGTGCATGGTGGCACAAACCAGCAGGAGTAGCAGCTTGGTGAGACGAAGGGACCAGGCTGGTGGGACTGATGCTGCATGGCTGAGATGACCTGTTAGCAGAAATATGGCAGGCCAGGGCAAAGTCAGGATGGAGCCCCAAGTTTTAGCAAACCACCCTGGCAGGGTGACACTGCTTGGTGATGCTGCTTCACCCTCCCCAGCCCTACACACATATGTGGACCCATCCCAGTGCATCCCACCGATGCTGGTCCCAGCTGCCCCAAGAAACAGCAGAATACCACAAAACCCACCTGGGCTGATTTAAAGGCATTGAAACCACCTTTATATTTAATTCAGTCGTGCTCACCATCCAGCAACTTTGGAGAAAGCAGCAGCAAACCCACAATCTGGCAGGCGGTAACCCCCCTCTGACTCTTCTTGCATGATGAGTGATGAGGAGGGGACCACAGGATGCAATGTGAGGTCGCTCAGGTGCCGGGAAAAACATTTATACAGAAGGTCAGCTCTTCTCCTCTACCCATGATCACAGGCGTGCGCTACCCAGATGCTGCACACAGACCAGACAGCGGGCGGCTGGGAGCATTGCCTGTCCCAGGGCAGAAATGCAGCTCAGTCCCAGGAGGAATGGAGCAGAGCAGCCATCCACTGCAGTGGAAAAGGGAGAACTTTTACCCATCCTGCAAGCCAGGGCAAAAGCTGTAAGTACAGCAGGTACAATTTCACTTACTGAAATGCAGCCAGGGCTCTGGCGAGCGGTGTGACTCACAGCCCTGAAATTAATTAGCACCTTCAGTTTGTCTTGGATGTTTTGCTTGAAAACCCCAAGATGTGATTTAATGCTCCAAGAAATCTGTTTTCCCCACTCTGTGCTGATTGCTTCAAAACATAAGGAAACCATGTGGGACCATGTGTAAATGGAAATGAAAAAAAAGAGGTAGGAAAGTACTTGCGCTTACGGTAAGGGATTGGGAATGGCTATTGGATCTCTCCTGCCGCCTCTCCCGTCCCTAATCCTCATGCTCCAGCCAACTTAATTTTTTCACGATGAATCAGTACTAGGAAGCTATTGTGCTGCAAGCTGGTGTGGCGTTAATTTTGGAAGAAAATAGGCAGAAAAAGAAAAGACAAATCATGTTAAAAATAGCCAGCTGAGAGAATGACAATAATTAGCTGAATTCTGAACATTTTTCTCCTGTTGTTATGCGGACAAAGTATCAGATAGTTTCACTAAGTTTTCTCTCTCTTTTATAATTGTTTTGGGGCCACGCTTGAATGGCAGAGCTTGAGTTTTGAAAAGCTTTCCAAGAACTGTTCCAAAATCTCCTGTGACTGATGCTCTTTAGAGCTGCAGACACATTTGGCAGAGAGCACAGGGTGTTTCCGGCACTGGGTCTGGTCCAAACCCTGTGTCTGCACTGATTTAATAACAGAGAGGTTTCAGCAGCCACGATGGTGCTGATGTAGGATGCCTGGCCTTGTGCAACCAGCAGCCCGATGCTGGGCTGACCGGTGTGGACATAGCCAATGCCACAGGGCCTGCAAACCCTAACCACCCAACCCTCCTCCCCAGCATGCTACTGCCCAGCAGCAGCTCCCTAAAACCAGGCACGACGGGGCAGAACAATTACCAGGACGAGCCAATATTTTCCAGCTGGTAATTTGTTCATGTGGCCACTCACTGAAGAAATCCACTGATGTACTTTTACCAGCTGCTAAAAATACATCTGTAGAATCATTTAGTCTTTTCCCTGCATGGGAACAATGATTATTCTCCATTTAAATGTATTTTTCAGGACAGCTACTTTGGTTGGAAGAATGGAAACAGAGTGCTAGCACATGCAAACTGATACAGGTCGTCTGGGAAAGCTGCTGCTGCTGGAGATTTATAGCAATCAGATTGGCATAGCTCACCCCGTGCAGGGATTTGTCTCATCTTGATCGGCAGACAAACAGGTTTCCGCCCCAGAGGAAGGATTATACAGCAAAGCTTTTAAGTGGGACCAAGCCCTGCAGGTGGATTTCCCTGGGGATGGGGAAGAGGCAGTGTCTCCCCCAACCCTTGCTGTGGTACACAGAGGGCTTGGCAGCCCCCCCAGCCCCATTAAACCACCATAGGGATTTTCTACTGGTGCAAGCATGCCATCCAAGGGCGGCAGTCCTGCTGGTTAACCCTGCCAGGTCACAAGCTGTCTGCTGGCATCTGGCTCCCTTGCTGCCATTTCAGATGTCAGCTGCCCCTCTGGCCTCGCTGCAGAGCTGGCACAAGCTCTGCATCATGCAGCTTGGCTAAACCAAAGGTGTTCGTCGCCTGGGTCACTCGGCTCCCCTCCCACCTCTGACACGTGCTGAAGGACCAGATGCTTTAGTGGTGCAAATCAGCTTTGCTGCGGTCACTGGAGTTGTGCCCATTTACCCCAGCCAAGGTCTCCCCCATGATGCCAAAGGACCCTATGAGCCTACAAGCCAGTGAACCGTCTCTGCTCATTTCCAGCTGAGCCTCTCACCCCTCTCTGACCCATGAGATACCTCTTCCTTAACTGTCAGGACAGCCATGATCGAGCCGAGCTGAATCATGTGCTGCTTCAGGCTTTGTTGCTTTTGGATGGAGAAGGATGCTGAGGTTAGCTAGCCTCAGGCAACATTAGCAAGCTTGGGGAACACTTGCTGTTTCTAAAAAAAAGAAAGAAAGAAAGAAAAAAGAACGGTCTGTGTTTTCTATAGTCAGGTGGCCTTAGCCAGGGCAATCTTTGTGCTAGGACAGTTTTATTGCATGTGGCAGAAAGGGGCCAGGAGGAAAAGCTGAGATGCACCCAGCTCATGGAACGCCCATTGAGATGGCAGTCAGCCGTGCCAGTGGACCTCTCCAGTACAAGCAGGCACGGAACAAACCTTCATGCTAAATCCCATCTCTGTTGCTAATATTGAAGAGCCTCACTGTGACTCCAAAGTATGAGATTTATAATTCCCCCCTGCATCACCTCATCAGACTCCTTTCCCGTTCTTAAAACAGCCCACATCTCCCCTGTGTCGTCTCAGTGCCTTATTCTCCTTGTCCTGCATCTTTTCTCAAGGGGCTGGCTCTTTAGGAGGGAGGCTAAGCATCTCCGTTTGCTCACCCTGGCCTCTGTCCCTGAGCTCCGCGTCCCTCCCTGCTGTGCATCCCATAGCCTCCCCCATCATCCAGCGTGGTGATGAGGAGTAGCCTGTCAGGAACGGATGGATGTGACATTTCCCTTTGGCTGAACACCTCCATCTTCTGAAATGCCACAGCTGCCGAGCAATTACCCAGCACACAAGGCAGGCCAGAGAAAGGCGGTTAATGGGGGACACACTGACAACAAAGTGCCACCAGCTCCCTCCTCCCCCTGCCTCCCACAACAGCCTTTCATGCATTTTAAAGTGCGATCTCAGGCTAAGTTCTCTTTCATGTGCATGAGGCCACAACCACAAAGACACTCCAGCGAGGGGACTGAAGTCACTCAGAGACACACAGGTCACTGCAACAAAGGGGCTTGGAAGAGGGACCCCAGAAATGGCTTTGGAAGAGAAAAAAATGGGTTTGCCCCATGACCGCCTGCAGCCAGCCTGAATCTCACCCAGAACTGCCCCCACACCGAAATGAAAGAAGTGGAAACCAGAGGCACCAGCCATCCCTCCCCACGTCGGGATGCGTTACACCTCAGAGGGAGAAGTGCCAGAAATGGGGTGAAAACAAGCAGGGCCACACCTGTATTTGGCTTTTGCACCTCACAGGGAGACATGGGAGAGCGGAGGGTGCTGTGATGCCACCATCCCTCCGTGGCTGCCTGCTTTCTGCAGTGTTAAGACTCCCTGTAGCCCTGACTCCCCAGAGCAGCTTTCAAGCAGCATCACATCCCAAATCCCACCTGAAAGGCATGAAATTGAACCAGGACTCTCCTTTCTGGCTGGAGGGAGAAACAGAGTAAATCCACGTCTGCGCCCCTGCTTTTAATGGTGCGCAGAGCTTCTCCTTGGGAACAAGCCACCTTGGGAAGAGGAAGACCCATCCTGTGCCCTGTGGCTGCTGTTTCACCCCTTGGCAGCACCAAGCCTGTGCCCAGCTGCAGCCAGAATCAGCAAGGACTTTGCTGTCCCCAGCAGAGCTGGGGCTGCCGGCGTGGAGCATCCTGTACTGACACTGTCAGCCAGCCACACTTCCAACATCCTCCACCCGCTGGGATGTGTGGAGCCCACTGAGCCCACTAAGGAGGGATGCCTCCACGGTATAGGGAATGCCCCTGGTGAATCCCAGGGGCTGACTCCCCTGCACAGCCCGAAGGCAGCTTATATGCCTGTCCTCTGACACTGTGCTACCTGACCTGCCCCAGATTGCTGGCAAGGGGAAGAAGGCAGCGATTCCCTGCAAGTCTTGGCTTCAAGTGATGGAGGGAGAAAGAAAGAAACCCCCAGAAGGGGCGTGGTACCACCCTAACCCCAGGCAAAGCCAGTGCAGCCAGGTCAGACCAGGGGTCTGGTGGGTCACCCCATCCCAGTGGCCGAAATCAATGGTTTGGCACAACCAGCCTGCAGGCGCTGCCTCCCTTCTTGCTTGCAGAGAGCCACAATCTCTCTGAGGGCCAGAGACTTTCCCAAAAAAGACACACAATTAGATGCTACAGCACAGCCAAATGGGGCTACAACAGTTAGTGGCTGCTAGTAATCCCACATAGACCGCTTTCTTCAATGTTTCCCAGCGTATCAGTGAAAATCCTGAGCCTAAACTGCACCGATTTCATACGGCTCTGTCAGCTGTGCTGCTTGGGAAAACAAAACAGGTTGAGCAGACTTGCAAAGCCATGCCTTTCCCCACCCTGAAGCTCCTTAAATCTTATTTTACATTCAAGTAACTTTGTGTTTTATCTGAAAAGCAACCACTCCAAGGCACGACCTGAGGCTCCAGCAGCCCCACCAGCCAACACATGAGCTCCAGCCCTTGAACTCATCTCCTCAAATGACAAGAAAGTGGCTAAGTAGCAGGGCTAATATCAGCCCTGGCAGCTGCCAGGGGCTGCCGGTCTGCAGCAGAGGAGTTAGTTTGCAAGCTGTGTTGCCTTTGGCAGCTGCTGCAAGCTCCTAAGGCCAAACTTTTTGAAGGGGTGCATTCTACACCCTGGGGGTTGGCAGCTGGAAAGGCCAGATCCCAGGGACAGGCATCTCTGCTCAGGCCATGCCTCAGCTAAATAGCAAGATGTGATGGATAATCAGGGGTGAGATGAATTAGCAGAGATGGAAAGGAGCTGAGAAGCAATGCAGCAAGGTGGGATGAGGGTTAGACCTTGGGACCATGAACCTACCTGGAAAACCAGAAAGAAATTGAGTTGGTTAGTCAAGAGAAGAGTGCACTGCAGGAATGTGATCATCACCTCTAACCAGCCCTGCAGCTCAGCTCATTGAGGAAGGGCAAGGAAGCTGATGACCTGCCAGCTCTCGTTTCTCACAAGCACAGAATACTTGGAAACATTTCAAGCACAGAAAAGGAGAACATTGTTTTCCACATCCCCTAGGAGCAGGACGAGGAATCCCAGGCTCAATTTGCAGCAAAGGGGTGTGGGACAGACACTGAGTAACACCTGGAACAGGAAACTCCACGATCCTTGGGATCGCAAAGTTTGGCAATACCAATCCTGAGATGCACCAGCAGCTTGAGAAACTGCACCAGTTACAACCCCAGCCTTATTGTGAAGAACCAGAGCACACTCACCTATCCTGGTGGGGAAGATGTCCTCATTGTTAATAAGCATCTCGATCCAGTCCATCAGCATACACATGTACTGTGGAGCTGACACCTTGGTCGGCTTCTTGTATTTGCTATCATCCTGCCACCTGTACTCGTACTTGAGTCCACCAGACATGATGGGGCAGCTTTTTTCCGTGCAGTATTCCGACATGGTGCCATAGATGAGGTTGATGCGGTTGAAGAAGTCCACCACATGCACGGCAATCCAGTCGTTGATGCTCTCGCCGGGAGGCAGCTGCACCACTGCTTTCAGGTCCAGCCCAGATTTGAGGGACGCCTGGGCTTTCTTGTACAGCTCAAAGCGCTGGGTGCCTGGCTCAAACTTCTTTCGGGGGCGAAACGTTTTGTCTTTGTTGAAGACTTGCTTGAGACACAACGCCATCGCAGGCAGGGTCGGCCAGGGTGAGGGCAGAGGCTCGGTGCAATGTGAAACCCAAGGCTGGCGTCTTCAGGGATAGAGGTTTCTGGGAGGAGAAAGAGAAAAATTTTGGTCGTGTATGAAGCCAGCTGCACGCATGGACACACTCACAGGGACAAGTTTGTACCAGGATGTTGGCTGACCCCGCTGCTCTGGCGGTACTTGGGGATGGAGATTTGGGGTGAGTTCCTGGCCCCTCCACACCCACCAGGGTGACCTGGAGCAGCTGCTGCCATCTCACACAGCAGCTCCCAGCACTGGAGAGGGCGAGCACCACCACACATGCCCCATGCAAGGCTCGATGGCAGACAGAGCCCTTCCTCCCTCCTGAGCACGCCGGGAGCTCACTGGGCTTCAGCCAGACTCTTACCTCCAGGGCGTTTTATCAATAACTGCTGCAACAAAGTGAGAGCCATGATATCAGCAGAGTTCACAAGCCCAAGCAGTCCCAACCTGATGGACCTTTCCTCTTCCAGCAAAGGGGAATCATCCCTTTCCCAGGGATTTCTCAGTACAAGTAACCTCCGACCCTGCCGCGACGGCTGGCGAGCAATGCCCCGGGGACCACGCTGCGACCGCAGCTGGCTGCTGGTTCACACAGCCACAGCACCGAGATCAATGGAAAAAGGGGGGATTATTTTTGTTGTTCTGCCCCGTGTGTTTGTCCAAAAGAACAAAACTCACATCCGAAGAAGGGAAACGACAGCCCAGCACGGCAACACGACGTGCCAGGATGTGGCCGTCCCTCCAGGCATGGAGACAATGCACAGAGGAGCCATTGGGGTGGTGAGCCGATGCTCTGGGTAACTTGGTCTGGAAATCATGGGTCAGCAAAGCACTGAGCTCACCCCTTCCTGCCCAAGGTTAGCAGCACAGACAAGGGCTGCAGTATTTCCCCTTTTTTTTTCCTTTTCCTCCCTGAAGCTCCAGTGGAAATCCCATCCACCCCATGCTGTCCTAGACAGGCTGAAATTGTGCATCTCGTTACCTGCACTCATCACCAGTGGTGGTAACATGAGATCAAGGGCCCATTGTGCTAAATGCTCTGCTGAGGCTTAGGGAAGAGAAAGTCCTCCAACAGTCTCCCCCTGACAGGAGGAGACGGAGAAAGAGCTTAAAAAAAAAAAAAAAAAAAAGGAAGAAAAAGATTCACGGAAAAGGGAAGTGACTTACCCAAAGTCACAAGTAGGACAGAATGGTGCCCAAGCAAAACTTGGATGCACATTCATCATTAAAAAGACAGCGTTTAGCAAAAAGCTTGCTATATAAACTCTGTTTTCTAAACTTAGTCCTGAGCCACTGGCAGATCCTATTTTGCCCAGTAGAGACCACCTGAACATCTCGCAAGACAGACAGATCTCGCAGCAGGACCTAGTGATTGTCTCAAACACCAGCAGGATCTGCCCAGTGGGGATTTCTACACCACAAACAGCAAGTGGCTGCGAGGGGAAAACCCTGGCGTCAGTGCAAACCCTGGTGTGGGTGGAAACCCCAACGTAAGTGCTGTTAATGCACTAACCATGGCCTTTCCCGCGGGCTGGAGCATTGCTTTGCCACCTTTATGTAGCTCACAGCATGGTGGTACCAAACTTCACCATGCTCTGCTGTACCCAGGTACAACCGGACCTGAAACTGTATGTTTTTAGGTGCTTTTTGCCCTACGGAGGGAGTCACAGCCATCATGCAATGTTATGCAGTATGACTTTAATAGCAGGGTATCTGCAAACCTTCCCCAGCTCATGTGGCTGGGTAGGATTTTAATGGCTCCAGCCCTGTTGTCCTCATTTATTGCCGACTGGGGCATGTTTCTTGGATGCTTTTTCCTCCCCTGTCCCAAGCAGCTGGCTCCAACCATGTCAAAGAGCTTGTTCTCCACTTCAAAAAAAGAACACGAGCTCTCCAAAATGCCAACCGATGGAGAGAGCCAGCATCACCTCATGACTCCTACCTGTCCCAAGGGGAAGGGTCTCTGGTACCGCAGCCCCAAGGGAGCCCCACGGAGGCCAGGGGACTCTGGGCACAGCAAAGCTGTCAAGAAAAGCCCTTATCCGGGGCTTCTCACCTGGCTGTCACATATTCAAAGGCACATTCTGTTGATAACGCCTTTAAAAAAAAGCCTCCCAGGGAGTTTGCTAATGCATAAGAGTTGCACAAGAGTTTCTAAAATACATACATATACATACATATATATTTATACAGAACTACTGCAATGGGGATCCTAGTCTAGTAACATAGGAAGTGCTGGGATAGCCTTTGGGATGAGGCATCCAGCAGAGTCTGCCTGTATGGAGGTAGGCGTGATGGGGTTGAGCAGAGCCCGGCCTTGCAGCCAGCACCGGAGGGAGCGGGCCAGAACTGCCTCTGGTGCTTTCGCCCCCCCAAAATTAGTTGTCACTAACTGGCTGTGCCACCAAACCAGGATATGGGGCTGTCACCACCGAACCAGGACATGGGGCTGTCCCTGCCTTGCTGCTATGCATACCCTCATACATGGATTATTCTTCCTCTCTTTCTCTCCTTTTACCAGCCAGGCTCTGGCTGAAACATAAAGGCCATTAAAATAAGCAAAAATAAACAATCGTGTCCCTAACAAGAAGTCAGGATTTCCCCATCTGACACTTGGCAGCTTCCCAGGACAGGGATGATGCAGCACCCACTAGTCCATCCTGCAGCTCCCTCATCCCTGTCCCCAGCCAGTCCACGACCCCCAGCAAAGCTGAGCAGCCCCTTTGCCCAGCACCCAAATAAAGCCCAGTGACCGCCACCTCGCCGGGCCGGACAGGCATTGCACGGCACCACGCCAAGCCTGTGTCCTCGGTCTCTTTGCTGGGCAAATGGTTATCCTCGTGTTAGACTGGACCTATCCCACCAGGTCAGACAGTCCCTCCAGGTTAACATCAGTACAGACGAGGACTGGGATCTGACCTAGGAGGTTTTCATGGGATTTCAGCAAGGCAAGTCGTGCCAACAAACATTTCTCCATGTCGCCATCTCTGCTGGCCTCAGCTCCATTCGTTCTACTCCAGAAGCTATTGCTGTTTGCAGGCTCTTCCATGCAGAGACTGGGTTGTTCCAGGGTGATGAGAAGCCACCCTGGCATATGATATCCCATCAAATGGGTCACTTGCAGGGGCCATCACAGCAAAATCAGTTCTCCATGAATGCAGGGGGATTCTCTTGTTCCTGCACCTCACACTGCAACTGCTCTGCAAATATTGAGCCACTCACTGGGAAATAAACTCTGCATCTCATCTCCTGAAGCCAGACCTTTAACTCATTCCACAAATGCATCTCTGCATCATCCACAACTGGATCTCTGTGTTACCCTGCAAGCTGCTATCAATCATCAGGGCAGGGGGAATGTGCTTCATGCTTCTGTACCATCTGAATAAAACACCAGTTTAAAAAAAAAAAAAAAGCAACAAACCTGCTAAACATCTGCCGGGTGTTTTCCTACGATGCATCTAGTAGAGATTCCCAGGAACAGGGAAGCAAAACGCATCGCTGCCCAAAGTGCTCGGAGCAGACCTGTCCCCCAAGCCCATGGGGTGCCAGGACGGCACTGCAGCCTCTCTGCTCCACAGGCAGCGGCGCACACAAGAGTAATGCGAGCAGTTTTGCTTTCAGGGTCCTTGCCAGCATCACTATCAAATTGCCAAGTCATTAAAAGGCCTTGTCAGTCTTTACTGGAGAAAAATGTTCTCCAGAAATTAAATTTAACGTAAAGGCAAAAACACATCCTGGGATTTCCGACCCAAAGAAGCAGAGAGAGGCACTGGGCCAAATAACAGATTTGTTCTGTATCTCGCTCCAAAGTTTTCACTGTCCAGAGAGATCGATGTGCAGGGAAGGCTGTGAGCAGCATAGGGAGGGAGCTGCATGGAGGCCAGGACCAGGGCTTGAAATACCAGCCACGGCCCTTGCAGCTGGAGCGCTGAGATGGGACGTACCAACTCGGAGCAAACAGGCTCCGCAAAGTCACTGGTGCCTCAGTTTCCCCTCGGGCAGGGACACAGCACCTGCTCCTGCTTTCTGGGAAGAAAAGCAAAGTCCTTTGGGAATGAACCTGGACACATCCTGAGTCTAACTCGTGGAAAAGGGCATCAGCAGCGAACGTAAGACCAGATTTTCTTGGTGTGCACGTTTATGCATCCGACTCTGCTGGTGGTCTTCTATCACTAGCCAAATATTTGAGACAGATCCACGTAAAGAGATGGAAAATGGGAGATCTTCCAAGGTTTAGCTGTGGTGCAGAGTTCAGCTGAGCCTGATGTTCAAGGCTGTCGTGTTCCTGGAAATCAGGCCATGGTCTGCTGGGGCTTGGGGTGGGACAGGAGACCCATCCAAGTCCAACTTGCTGCTCACACTGCTTGTTTTGGGAAAGCCGAAGGGCAAGCTGCCATTCAACGAGCTTAGACAGCAGCTTCCTACAACATGATCGTACACATCCCACTACCGGCCCATGCCAGAGGGGCCTGGACCAGCGCCGCGGCGGCAGCCTGCAGGTCTCTGCCTTCGGTTCCCACGTGCAAAATCAAAGCTTCCCCCAGAGGAGCCTTGGCAAAGGCTGCAACCCCACTTCACCGCGCCGCAGTTCCCATCATGGGGTGGTGCTGGCACCCCAGGGGCTCACGCATCCCTTTCTGAAGCATCTGCAAACCCCCAAATCAAACCGTGTCCCACTCCTGGGAGTGGACAAAGAGTCAAGCAGGCAGCCACAGAGCCAGAGACTTTCCCTGCTGTCACCCTGTGTCCCTGCTGCGGACGGTCGGAGGAGGATGAGCAAAGCTGCCAAGTGGAAAGAGGCTGCTGCTTCCCATGGGACGTCCACGCCATGACACGCTCGGTGCTCTTCCCCATCCACGCTCCCAAAATAGCCTTGGCTTTGCAGAGGGCTGGCTACAAACCCAGCTGAGAGCTGCAAAACCCCATCCATGGCTGTGAAGGTTCCTGGCTTCAGTCCT